CCAGTGCGACACCAGCACTATTTTCAAAATGGCGGTGACTGAGCAAGAATTGACTGTTGCAGAGCAAGAAATATTGACGGCGGTTCGATGCTATCCAATATTGCATGACAATTGTATGAAGGAGTTTATAAAGACCAAAAGAGGGACTCCTGCTCCATTTTTCACCTAGTCTTATGTCGTTATGTCAATGTTCACATTACCGACATAGGACGATTATGTCGTTATATTATGTCATTATGTCATTATGTCCTTACATGTACGTCGTTATGTCGTTAGTGTGTACTAGGCTTTATCAAGTCAGCTGCTTTCGTTTACAATGTATATCCGAGTACTTTGTTTTGTACCACATGATTTACCCTTGGCTTAAGTCCCAGGCGTAGCTAAAGTCGGAACTCGAAAAAATATAATTTTTTTCACCGTAATACAATTATTTTTCGTCTTCAAGTGTGAGTCACTGGCTCCACTTTAAATGACAATGCAGCAAATCTGGACTTCTCCTGCGTTATTTGTTTCCAGTGATTACAAAATGATCTGAGCATTTTTTTTCTCTTTAACTCAATAAAGAGAGACGAGGATTTTATTCACACTATCCCGGTCGCTCTTGTAAAGACATCGTGGTCAGTGGAATTCCAGTGAAGAGCGGCGAGTATTGGATCGACCCTGAGAACAGTGGAAACCCTTTCAGAGTCTTCTGTGATATGGCAACTGATGGAGGTACATGTGATTGAGTCCGGACACAAGGAAAAAATTGCCGACGGAAATCTTCAGTTAATTAAAAAAAAAATTGAACAGTTAAGTTATCGTACGGGCCGTGCAGGCCAATCAACCCCATTTTGCTTTACTGAAGATTTATGGTCGCTCAAAATGTTCGAAATTTCCCAAAGAGGGAAAATCACTCGCTTCTACAAACGCAAGCTGCACTAGCAGTCTACGTGATTTTCAACACATACAGGAGTTATTGATATGTCTGATATCAATGTTGTTAGCTCGAGTTTCAGGTTTTTATGAATTGGCTTGAAGGCAGAATGCGATATTGATTTCTTTGTTGTGCTATTTCAAACAAAACGATATAGTATTTTTTTCTGTAGGAGGTTGGATTCTAGTGGCAAACTTTGAGATAGATGACTCGGGACCCCTCTCGGATTGGACCCTTGAGCCAACATACCGCGCAATAAGTAACTACGACAACAAGAGAATGGGAATCTCAAGAACCGCCTTGCATGAGTTGAGAAAACACTTGCCGTTCACCCAGCTGAGATTCCACTGCAGTAAACAGCATGGAAACACATTTCACGTGATTACAGTCACCAACAGCACTGGTGAAGATGTAGTCCAGTACTTCAGCGGTCAGACGGATGTGAAGCCCTCTTCCTGTGGCTCTTTTGTACGAATGGAGGACGATAATTCTCAGTTAGCCGAACAGTGCGCCAGTTGGGGATACAACGAAACGACTAATGCATTTCGTGTAGGTAAATGGGGTGGGATACCTTGGTCGGGCTGGAGTAGCGATGAAATGATGTATGACCATGCTCTATTTATTTCACATGAAAGGCACTGGATAATCGCCAGGCCATGGGGCGGGAGATGGGAATGTGATGATAGTGGCGACCCACCGTCCCCGAAGGACTTTTGGAGAATTTTTGTCCGGTAACTGATCGATGTACCAGTTAAGGGTCAATTGGAAACTTCAACATCCCTTCTCGCGAGCTTGAGACATTTTGAATTTTCAGTTGGTCAAAATCCAAACCCCCGTCCCAAAAATGGGGTTCAAATGCCCCTTCTTAGGGTCATACTAGCTACGACCTCAAATGCCCCAACCTCCGGAGATATACACGGCAAAAACAGATAATGGAAAATAGGTATTGTTTCTGATCCAAAACGTATACGAAGAACGGTGTTGTGGCTTGATGTCTTCGACAATGCTTCACCTTGCTCGCGAGGCAAATCCCCCCTACCCCTGCCATTAATATTTGCCAGTGAGGTCAAATTCTCACCCTCCCGAGGCGCATCGAATAGTCAAATGCCCGGGGCGTGCCAAGGGGCGGGGATGTTGATGTTTTTCTTTGATCGATACATAGCTGTACGCTTACTTGCCAAGGTATGCGATGTAACACTGCATGGGTTTTCTTTATTTGTAACATATTCTTCTGTGTCATTCTCACATATGCACGAGCATAGAACCAGTAAGCAGCTTCCATGATGAGACACTTGAATAGGAAATGCTTGCTCACAAAAATTTAGCAGTGACGTGGAGCAATTTTGGATGCTGACCTTGACCAAACAACCACGTTCAAATTTATAGTTGAAAGTAAAAATATCACATTCAGCAGCAATATTGATTATTTAAACTATACTAAGGGTTTAACACAAGCTAATCTTACGTTCTGTAAAATCGGGAAGTAATTATCATAATCAACGACATGTGTTTTTCAATGGGTCTTTACTAAAGATGAACATTTGATGTATAGTTATCAACGAATTATAAGAGCAAGCCACATCAGCCTTAGATGGGTTACATGCGGGTCCTCTATCCTGATTGAATTGGAATTTGATGACAAATCAGTGGCAAATACCTTTCTTCGCTCAGTGGTGAAAGCCTTTACCCGAGAGACGATGATGGTCTCTTGATTTACTGTAACTGCGGCGGTCTCATGGTCAGCGCTCTCGTCTCCGGATCGAGCGGTCCGGGTTTGAACCCTGGCCGGGGACATCGCGTTGTGTTCTTGGGCAAGACACTTTACTCTCAAAGTGCCTCTCTCCACCCAGGTGTATAAAAAGGGCACCGGCGAACTTAATGCTGGAGATAACTCTGCGATGGACTAGCATACTATCCAGGGGGGAGTAGAAGTACTAAAAGTCGCCCTCATGCTAAAGAAACCAGGGAACACTCCGGCCTGATCCCCGGGAGGGGACACCCATATTAAAAGGAGGGGTTGCCCGCCGAAAATTTTGAAAAGTACTTCTAAGAGGTACCAAGATCCTGCTTTGTGGGCGTGGCTTGAAATTTTTTTCCACCCCTCAGAGGTACCAATTCTCAAACAGCAATTAATCTCCTGTCATATTTTTTCGGCTCCATAACCCAAAATGCGCAGCAAAAGCTCCCGCTGTGGACCCCGCTGTGGACCTTTGCGGGTTGAACATCCTAGGAGGTACCAAAACCGCTTTTCTGACCCCAAAAAGGTGCGACAAGTACCCCTCTTTTAATATGGAGTCCCTCCGGGCCTGATGGGCCACTTGGCTCGTATTTTTTATAGTAATGTAAGCGCATTGAGTTTTTTTAAATGCGCCCAAAAAACTTTATTATTATTGTTATTGTTATTAATATTATTATTATTATGGAAGACTTTACCTTTACTTACGACTAAAAATACCACGTCGTTTAGTAAATCGCAAGCATAGATTATTTTATCTTTAAAGTTTTTGTTAATAACAGCGACATTAACAGCAGCAACAACAATTAACAACAGCAACAAAAACATACACTTTGTTGCCATTGGTGGGGGGCATTGGTATTGGAGTAATATTTTCATATTGTAATAAATATTTGGATTGATATTACGTTAGTAATAGTTATAATCATCGAGCTGAGTGACAAAAACTAATATTTACAGGTACGAATTAGATAACGTGTAATAAAAGCTGAATAAGACAGAGAGGAGAGCAAACGTTAAAAGTCTATCTAAGCTGTCATTTAATATAAAGAGAAACGAATAAATACTAAAAGGTACCAAATGAAAACCCGTAGAGTGCAACAACAAGATGACTGTAGTGTGTTTAGCTTGACGTTACTATTTTAAGCGTTGTAAAGGTTAGGTTAATCCACCAGTCTACATGTTTCGAACGTTTAAAGCTGCCAATTTAATAAAGCAAATGTTGAGTTTTCCACAGTTTGTTTTATCGAATCTCAAAAAAGAAAGTTGACTTGAAAGCAAGCCAAGTGTTGCGCTATGACTTGATATGACCTGTTTGAAAAAGAGAGGTAAAAGACGAGCTACAGAAGACCACTATGACATGGTTACACAATTAACCAGAGCATTGAAAAGTGGAACAAGGTAATGTCACACCACGTCTTGCATCGAGAGCAGGCGCTAAGCAACAAATATAAACAAGTAAAGTCTGGGACCGGTTCGTTAAATCCACATGCGGTTTATTCTCTTAAATGGGCATGGATCTCCACATTTTTCGATAAATAGTTTTGTCTCCTATTTTCAAGAGATATAACAAAAACGAACAAGAACCAAGTTTAAGAAGTTTACGAGTTTGAATCAATTATCTTAATAGACCCACTCGAAAAATTAAGGCAAAGGAAGCGGCTTTTTACAGCACGCTTAAGAACTTAATTAACAGATTTTGCAGCCACATCCAGGGAGATCATTTTTCGGGCTTAAGATAGTTTTTTTGGACAATTTTTCGTTCTAACGAATTCAGCGACCCTCCATTTACACGTACGACTCAACCTAACCTTGGTGAGAGTTTATAATTACAGCTGAGCACCCACGACTTGCATATATCATCTAAAATAAGTTAAATTGTGGTAAGTTACCGGACTAGCTGGTTTGAGGAAACCGAGTTTTAGAATAGACCAATTTCGATATATTAAAATTCAGCCTAAAACAATGGACCTCATTACGAGGCTCTGGGGAATAACTACAGAGTTTGTGGGGTTTATTCCCCAGGGCCTCGTGCTGAGGTCTATTGTGTTAGGCTGAATTTTAATATATCGAAATTGGTCCATTAGAGGCCCATTTCTGAAATGAGTACTGTTGCCATGGTAACGGGTATGTCTCCATAATTACTCTTAACATATTGTCTGAAGATATCTTTTCATAATTGTGTAAAAGTTACTACGTTATCAGTAGCTGAAATCTTTGATATATTTTGAAGTTACCTTGTAAAAGTGTGAAACGCTATATAAATCTTACGTATTTGCGAAATTCTTTGTCTCACTCTAAAATTCTCTAAACTACAGCTTGAATTCCTAACTCATGTAACTGGGCGAAGGTTTCCAAATTGTGTGACAGGTCCATGTCTCCCACAGAGACAGATTGTTCCTGAACAGAAAACATATTTACTGAAAATCCCCTTAACAGGCACACTATTTGAACCCGAGTTTGTGCGAATGGAGATCAAGAATCTTTGTCCATCAAGTATTCAGTAGTTAACGAACATAAATCTTCCAGAAGTCTCCAGATGATACTGAATTCGAATTTCCTAGGTCATCACATTCCCATCTGTCCCAGCCTGATTCCGGATTAGTGGCCCAATGGAAGTTAGGGAAAACAAATGCTGGGTACTTGTACAACTCACGCATTCCTTCATGTCCCCATTTATCAACGTTATAAACGCCGCCATCTTTTCCCCATTCTGTACAATGATTTGCGGTAACTGAGTTGTCTCCAGGCAGTGTTGCAAATGATCCACAGGCGTCGGGCATGACATCCGTCTGACGGCTGAAGTACTTGACTACAGCTTCACCAGTATCGTCAGCGAGCGTGGCCACGTGGAATGTACGATGTTCAGCTTGTTTGCTGCAATGGAATCTCAGTTGCGTGAAAGACAAATGAGATCTTAGCACATTTAAGGCGCTAGTCGCTAGCAGCATGTTGTTGTTGTTATAACGGCTGACGCCACGGTATGATGTCTCAATGCCCAAAGTAGAGGGAGTAGATGATGTGCCGTCAATCACAATGTTATAGATCAGAAGCCAGCCTCCTGAAATACACAATATTTTAAATATCAGAAAACAACAACTGCTTGTCTTAACAAAGGCAACAGTGTCTAATTTCGCCAAGGTACGGATCATTTTTTATCACGCGGAAGCAAGGGAATAGGAGAACTTTCCATTGAAAGCTTAAGGACGATTGCACATTGTCACTTTTTGGCCTTGGCATTTGCAGTTTGACGTCACTTAGGACGTTTTTGCGTAAAACTAGTTTCCTGGGACTTCCTGTTGTGTTCATCCAGGACAAATATTAGCATGAAAATGAATTTGAGCAACGCCGAAAAAAAGACTGATGTCCTTCAGAAATCTCCGACGTTCCGCTTAAATGTCTGTACGGGAGGTTTGTATTCCAAGTGGTGTTGGCATAGTCTTCCCTCTTATGTCAAAAGATTCAAAGCCTTCTATAAAATTGAATAATTACGTAAACTGTGGGCATAACAAAACTCAAAATGTCAAATCTACTTTCGAATGCTTCTCGCACTATTCATTTCAGAGACTGACCAACAAAGAATGATATATCACTTACCGCCATCAGTCGTCATGTCACAGTACACTGATAAAGGGTTGCCATTGTTCTCGGGGTCGATCCAGTACTCCCCGTCTCCCCTGGAGTGTCCAGAATCTAGGATGTCCTTACATGAGAGACCAGGCTGGTCGGAAAACCAACCTCGATTAGCTGTAACTGAAAAGCGCTGTTCATAGTAAAGAGATCCTTTTGATTGTTCTCTCACACGAGGCTTAGTTGTTTTTCATACAGAATACAGTATTGTCCGTTAATATATGGCCATAATAATAGCGCAAGAACCGCAAATTGCTGTAGTGATGATGCTGAGAGTTCTCCCTTGTAGTTAAGGTTATCCCACCACTTCCGCTTCCCCCCCTCCCCCAACCCCTACAGCCCCATAACAATGCATGGAAAATCAGGAACGTTTTAATTCAATTCAACCAAAAATTCTGGAACTTTCGAAATGGGAGCAAATGTAAAGAATTTCCTCCGAAGGATTCTGGAAAAACCGAAAATTGTTGAATTTTCGAAATGCGAACTGCAATCTAGAACTTCCTGAAATTCCGAGAGGAAAATCAAACGGAAGGGAAATTCCGGGTAAGAAATTTTCGAAACTTTGGGTTTACCTCGGGAGGTTGTATCCTTTTTCGGAAGTTCCGGGAAATGTTGTTCTGTTACGCAGGAAATTTCTGGAATTCAAACCAGAATTTTTGGTCGAATTGAAAGCCCTACAAGTCGACCACTTTCGGAAATTGCAAAGTTTATATAATTAGCACGCGCGATTTGGGCAGATTATGCTCGGGCAAGTTAAAAAAAAGATGATTTACTTACCTTTTTCATAGTAAATGAATCCCTTGATTGGCTTCAGGTCCTTTGGTTTCATCCGTCGTGTTTGGTCGTTCATTTCACAGGTTTTATTGCCAAGGTGGCCGTCGGATGGCAAGTTGTATGACCGACATTTCACGTTCCTTGAACATCGCATACCACATTCGAACTCATCACTTGTCGAAGTTTCTATGACGTGACCAACAAACCTGAAATCTGAAGGTGGCGTATGTCATTCTAAATGGAACTTTAAAAATGTTCACTGGACTTCTGTTGAAGAAAAAAACGACCCACCTTTGCGAATTTCAAAGAATTGATTCACGTTTGATTCCACGGCGAAGGGAAGAAGTATCGTCACAAACATTACAGCCTGACCTAATCCTGCCAACATTTTCATGTACACTCCTGGTAACAAAATAAAAAGTTGAAATTTGTAACCTAAGTATGCGTTGTTTTTTAATTGTTTACTACCTCAGAATCAAATGTCAACAATTCTTGTCAATAAAAGCTTTTCAAAATCGAGATACATTCATTTACTAATTGTTACGATGTTGTAAGTCTTAAAGCAACTCAATTTATAATTTATGTCTAATGCAACTTCTAATCTCGATAGTTCGGGAGTATTTAGAAGAATGAAGAAACGCTTCATTTTTTGATAGCTAATAACTACTGAGAAGGTATTTCATTCTTAAGGTGTGCTGTCATTTGAAAACTGACTCAATAGCGTGCGACATGAAAGACGACCAGAAACAAGAATATGACTAAAATTTAGCGACTTGTTCAACTTATGACAACATACATAACAAGGGGGGTTGAATTTCCAGTTTACCACACATTTCTTTACAGTCTTCACGGACTGCATGGTGTTCCTATATGGAACATCTCTGCCTGTACATCGCATTATCGAAAGTGTCTCTAAAAATTGACATACCGTAGTCCGCGTATTTTGATAGCGCTTTATATTTCTCAAAATTCAACATTTAGTAAAAAATTCACATGTCATAAATCTTGATTATAGCGTTTCTATCTATCGTAAAATGCAATAAATAGAAAAAAAAACCTTACCATTTCTCTCGTTGAAAAGTTTAACCTTTCCGCCCATTTTGAGATCGGCGATATTCTAATGGATGTTTTGTTTTAAAAACTTAATCATGTTCAAGTCCGTTGCGTGCTTTCGTCCATGAAAATTTGGAGAACAAATTCTTAGTTAGCAACAAACAATAAAGTGCGAATAGTAAACAAATTGACTTTTTTGTTGGCCATCATTTCCGTCCCAAAATTAGCTTACCGGGTGCTATGTAGAGTAAATCTCACGCAGCTGTTTACTAACAAAGCTAAGGCATTTTTAAGTATAGTTATTTAGAGATACGCGCGAAGACGTGATTTTGGGGTGTGCGAAAGCAAATCTATTTTGTGGTCGGTTGATAATGCGATCAAGAAAACTGTAGCCCTAAAAATTACTGAGCCATAAACGACTGGGCCATGCCCGCTTGTAATTCATAACTCTCTAGCAACGTTTCCTGTTTTCTAAATGCAAAGCAATCTCTTTATTAGCGTCGTGCTCCATATGTCCTTTTGTAAAGAAATTCTCAAAACATCAGTCTTCGACAATTAATTAGTATATTTCAAGAAAACATTCCATTTGTGGTTTTGTTTATTTGTAATATAATAGAGTTGAAAAACAGTTGTCTTGTAACTTCATAGTACGTTCGGCTTATCTCGATCAGCTATTTAAAAAAAAACTATAGAAAAATAATAAATGCTAGTTTAAGGTATATTTGAAATATTGAAATCACTCGAGCTTCTGGGTCTGTAAAGCCTCTAACGGAGATTAGTCGGTGATAAACTGTAGTTTCGTGACTACCAACTGGGATTTTTGACAGCAGTTTTAATTTTTAATTTCAAAATATTTGTTTGTTGATGTATAGTTTCCATGACCACAACTTGCGCAGCAGTGAGTCTCGCGACACTTATATCATAAATTTAGCACCTTGCATACGTCTGACATTCTATAAAGGAGAAAAAAGAGCTCAAATACTGAACGAAGGATTTTATGACTCTCTTCTCCATGATTGCCTCTTAATTACTGTTTCGTGTTTCTTCTTTCCAGTTTAAGACCAAAAGAGGTAATTTTCTGCCTTATGAACAAAAACAAGACCTTTGAAGATTGCAAACTGTTTAAACCTACTAGTTTACACAGCATCTCTTTATTAGACATGCAGAAAGCCGCTCTTGTACCTATAACTGTGAAAACGCAGAACATGTATTAGGTAAACTTCAAAATGGACTGAAATCAGCATTTTTTCTTTTTTTTCTTTTTGACCCAGAGTGAACTATCACTTCATAGGCGTTCTGTTCCAAAGTTCCATAGGCTTTGTAAATTAAAGCTGTAGGGATTAGTGTCGGAAAAAAATGGATTAAGCCTCTCAAGGACCTTAAGGAAACCAATATTGGTGCCCTCAAGCTTCAGTTGACCCCTAAACGATTCCAGTAAAAAACACTGAGTTGCATAAAGTCATGTCGGCTTTATCTTTTGTAGCGACCAACTGATAAGGTCAAACACAAGCCTAGTTTATAGCTTCGTATATATTGACAAGAAATGGCGAAGCGTGTGAGAGTCAGTCCCCCATATAAGACTTCTTCCCAAGGCAATCGATCCCTTTTCAGTGAATAGATTATTCGCGGCTCAAGAAGTCCCAGGGGACTCTAGGAATAGCCGATCCTGTGACGAATGTTACACAGTACGTGGAAAGCCCACGCCACTCAGTTCCACGTATTTTTATCCGCCGATAAAGCATGCACGTAACGCGCATGGTAACATTATCCCCAGACGAACAGGATTCCGTATCCAAAAATAACTTGACAGGATCAGATTACCTTGAGAATATGGTCTATATGGGGGATTCATCCTACCTTAATACGTTAAACGCGTGTTANCAGGTTGACGCTGCTGGGAAAAAGTTTGTTTATCAAGTTGTTGATGAACTGGACAAAAACCACAGGGCAAACGATCAACCAGATGATTCTCCAGGGGAACGACGTATGTATGAAAGACCCGAGAGTCCCTACTGTCCAGTTAAAACTTTTGAACTTTTTCTATCTAAGCTAAATCCAGCACTGTCATGCTTGAGCGACGGAAAATTTTAGCCATTCTGACGAAGTCTGGTATTGTAATGTGCCCCTCGGGAAAAATACGCTAGGAACTTTCATGAGTTCAATTTCTAAAGAGCTGAAACTTTCACAAAAGTATAGTAATCATTGTATTAGGGCAACGGCCGTTTCGCTCTTGGATGAGTGCAATTTTGAGGCTTGCCACATAATGCCTGTTTTGGGAAACAAATCTGAGAGCAGCATTCGCTCTTACTCCAGGCGTCTTTCGGAGGTTAAGCAGATGGAAATCTCCCACGCTCTCAGTAGTGCCTGTTCTGTTGAAACTCTTGAGTCCACTAGCACTGCAATTGTGGCGATGCACGAGCAAACAAGTGAAAATTCTCCTGGCAGAAACACAGTGCCAAACTCCTCTGTGACTATGCAGAATTTCGCATCTCATAGCCAGGAGACTGTAAACTTTAACGCGGGAGTATTTTCTGGAGCAAATGTTACCATTAATTTTTTACAATTCCAAATGATTTTGTATTCGTTACTGAGGTTATAAAAGCATATTTTACTTTTTCATGCACTTGTAATTAAGCTTAAGTTAAGACTTATTCATTCAGCGGGATTGACGGTTGTGAATAAAGAAGTTGTACCGTCTTTGTTTGTTTATTTTTGCTTTATAATTGTTTAAGGGAAAGTCTAAATATATAACAAAGCACTTAATGTATGGTCCCTCGAGTCCTGATGTTTCCCTCGCCTTCGTCTCGGGAAACATCAGGACTCTCGGGAAAACAAAACTAACTGTTTCCCTCGGGACCATACATTTAAGTGTATAATATTTACAGGTACGAGTTAGATAACGTCTAATAAAAGCTGAATAAGACAGAGAAGAGAGCAAACGTTAAAAGTCTATCTAAGTTGTCATTTAATATAAAGAGAAACAGATAAATAAGAAAAGGTACCAAATGAAAATCCATAGAGTGCACCAACAACATGACTGTAGTGTGTTTAGCTTGACTTTACTATTTTAAGCGTTGTAAAGGTTAGGCTAATCCACCAGTCTACATTTTTCGAACGTTTAAAGCTGCCAGTTTAATAAAGCAAATGTTGAGTTTTCCAGAGTTTGTTTTATTGAATATCAAAAAAGAAAGTTGACTTGAAAGCAAGCCGAGTGTTGCGCTTACGACTTGATAGGACCTGTTTGGAAAAGAGAGGTAACAGACGAGCTACAGAAGAAGACCACTATGACACGGTTACACAAGTAACCAGAGCATTGAAAAGTGGAACAAGGTAATGTCACACCACGTCTTGCATCAAAAGCAGGCGCTAAGGAACAAATATAAACAAGTAAAGATCTGGGACCGGTTTGTTAAATTCACCTGTTTATTCTCCTTAATGGTCATGGACCTCCACATTTTTCGATAAATAGCTTTGTGTCCTATTTTCAAGAGATATAACAAAAAACGAACAAAAATGGCAGTTTAAGAAGTTTGAAAAGTTGAACTTTTCTCAGCACGCATGGAGCATCGAATCTTGCCATCTTGTGGCTGTCAGGGCAGCACAAATGTTGTCGCTAAACGACTGGACCAAGTTTAAGAAGTTTACGAGTTTGAATCAATTATCCTGATAGACCCACTCGAGTAATTTAAGGCAGAGGAAGCTATTTACAGCGCTTTTAAGAAATTAGTTAACAGATATTGCGGCCACATCCAGTAATGGAGACCATTTTTCAGGCTTAAGATAATTTTTTTGGACAATTTTTCGCTCTAACGAATTTAGCGACTTCCATTTACATGTGCGACTCAAGCTAACTTTGGCGAGAGTTTACAGCCGAACACCCACGACTTGCATATCATCTAAAATGAGTGAAATCGTGGTAAGTTACCAGACTAGCTAGTTTTGAGAAAACCGAGGTTTAG